CTACGATTCCAGGCCATCATCTCCCGCATGCATGGCTAGAACGTGATGGCAAGACCGTAGCCATTCGGGACCTCCTGAGTCTGGAAAAGCTTACGCTGTTCGTGGAAAGTGGCAATGTAGGGAGGATAGCCGATGAGAGGGTTCAGATCATCACCATTGGGTCTGGAGGTTGGCGCGATGTAAATAGAACATGGCAGCAGCATCGCGGAGTAGGTGCAACAGGTGGTGTTCTCGTCAGACCGGACGGTATCGTTGCCTGGCGTGGTGTATTGGCCGCCGCTGAGGAAATTGGTTGGACACGTCTTGTAGACATCTTGCTCAAGGCGACTATCTGAAATGAGCGAGCCCATACAGCATCCAAATACATAGGACTCCCGTCGAAGCCGGAGTCATAAATACCACGTCCGACTCTCCCAAACTTGGTGCTTTCCAATCAGTATCCCAGACTAACTCGCGGATCGACAGCCTCGTTAACAACGCAGGTATTTCCAGGAGCCCAATGGCCAGCCATTGCCAGAAGCTTTTCGAAACATGTGCAAAAAGAAATTCGACACCGCCAAGTCCTTGTACACTGAAAGAAGCATAAACGTATAATTCAAGCAAGCTAGAAACCGCGCGGTGAGATGGTCTTGAAGCTTCTATACGACTCTTATCCTCTAGATCGCTTCTACTCTACCGGAGAGCCGCAGCTGCAGCCGCAGCTTCCTTATCAGCAGCCAGCATCTTCTGTATAGCTGGTCTTGTCACGCAGCGGTCCCACCAAGCACTCACCGCCTTGCGACTTCGTATCACGTCGCCATACCCGCACACAAACAATCTCTGCATCAATGGAATATAGTTGATATCCGCGAGCGAAAAGTCATTTCCAGCCATATACTCTCTATCCTGTAGCAGGCGATCCGCCACGTCCAAGAACGCTTCAAGCGACCGCAATGCGTCTGAAACAACGGCTTCGTTGGGAGCCAGCCCCGCGTACTTCTTCTTGACAAACATTTCAAATGCGATTTTACCCGCGGGATCGGCAAAGTAGAGTAGTTCTGTTGATTCGGCTTGGTCAAAGAGCGCGGCGGCTTCGATGTCGTCGGTGCTGCTGCCAACCTGCGGCACAAGTGGGAACGAGTACTTCCTCGCTAGATATTTGCAGATGGCGCGGCTTTCGTAGAGAGCGAAGCCGGAGGGGAAGGTGACTGCGGGAACTTTACCCCATGGGTGACGCTTCATGTGTTCTTGGGACTGCCGTTCAGGTAAATGTCAGCGTTGGACAATCTTTGCCGCCATCTGAGGCAACAAGTCATGTCGTTCTGTAAAAACAACAACGCGGTATACTCACCTTCTGCTCGCCTTTCTGCAGGTCCACAAGCACTAGCTCGTAGTCCGTAAAGCCTCCTTCGGCAAGAGTCAAGCGAACACGATCGGTGTTTGTCGAACCGCGAGAACCATATAGGGTAAAAGCTGGCATTTTGAAAGTGTTGCAGCGGTTTTGATTTTTGCACCGGGGCTGTTCGTGGTGAAGCTTCGACAGGTATAAGTACTTCTCTCGAGAGGTCTTGGGCCAGTCACCGCAGTATATATGTCGATACAGACGCTTCGGCTTCCGTGCAGCGCGAAGTGTTAGGCGCTGAATGGGTCTGATTGGTGGGATCGATCTCGTACAACCCGACTAGGTTAGCGCTGATGCTCGCCTTACCAGCGACACACTTCATGCGATGTGACACCAACTCACTAGCCTCTTCCATTGCGGTGTTGAGTCAAGACCAATCATCTAATTCGTCTGTTCATACATTTTGCTTTCTGCGACCCAAACAACGGGGACTGAGAATGGTTGAGGGCTGGTTCGACGTAAGAATACATTGATCCTTCTACTTACTGAAAGCATCTCTCCCCGCCTCGCATGTACGTATCATATCCACCAACAGTGCAATATCTAAGATCGTCGAACGATGCTTGCTCATTTTCTTCACTCCGTGTTTACCCCCATCTCTCCCCCACTTCACCCTTCCATGTCACTCCAGTCTCAGAAAAACCTGCCCTTGCTGCCAGTCTCCACGCTATGCTCGAGCACAGTCTCGCCATCATGGTCATCAAAAGCACCATGCCTATCGATGTTTCGCGGGATAGGTCGATCAAGCGCGTCGAAACGGCGACCCTGAACCCTAGCCTTGACCCAAAGGAAACCAATGCGAAGAGCGCAAGCAGCAAAAGCCCAGAGCAGACCTCCAAACGGAGCCGCTACGAAAGCGCCTAGGAATTGTCAGCACCCATGCCAAGGCAAAGAAGGTAAATGGGAGCAAGTTGGTGACTGCGTTCAGTAGGAACAATTGGAAATTTGTTATTGCCCTCATCGTGTGTAGGGAGTACAGAGTTTCATCATTGCAGTTAGGGGGAGAGGAGAAAGATATGGGAAATGGACTTACCAAAAGCGCTCCAGTCATTCGCATACAATCCACCTTCCAGTAGCAGCAAGTTCCCCGCAAGTGTAACATCGCCATCGTAGTACACGAGCCCGAACAAGAAGATGGTGAAGATACCCCCAAGTCCACCGACAACAAAGTCGAAGCCGCGGTAGAAATAAAACTTGTCGCTCAACCCAATGACAAGGCAAGGCACCACGGCCGCGCTAACCAAATCACTAATGAGGAAGATTTGCAAGATATCCGGACTGCGCAGCGCGACAACAACAACGGGGAAGATGAGTGCAACAACGCAAGCGCGAATGATCCAGATATTGAGCTTGTTGCGGAAGAAATCGTTGCTCCCCGTGCTAATCATAGCAGACTGGAACGAATCAAACGCAGCCGTCGAAAGCGAAATCGTCATGACAAGAACGACGCCAACGACCCACGCAGGCAGCCGCTCGAGCAAGAGGAAGAAGGCCAAAGAACCGGTTTCTTCGTCGCCAATAGTGTATGCGCCAGACCATGCGGCGAGCATACCCCCAACGCCCAGCAAAGTGAGGATGATTAGCACACCGGCGCTAGCAAGCGAGACGCCGATCCAGAGGTCTTTGTCCGTGCGGGCAGCAAAAGTGCGCATCCAGAAGCCAGACAGGAAGAAGTCGTTGGACAAGATAGCGACAGGAAGGATGTAGATGAGTTGCCAGCCCAGGAGGCTGGATTCCAGGTATCCGGATTGGTCGATGAGGGAGCGGTCAATGTCTGTTTCTACGCCTACGGCGATGACGCCCATGATGATGAGGCCGATGACCATTACGCCTTGGATATTGTCTGTTACAAAGGAGACTTTGAAGCCCCCGAGCGCTGGATATTGTCAGCTGAGCCCTACCGCTTTATGAGGTGTTGATTCGTTGGGGGCTTACAGGTATAGATGGTGGTAACGGCACATTCGACAATGACGACGGGAAGGCCATTGAGTCCGGTGAGTAGAGTGACGATTTGCTGGAGGGCTGAGAGCTCGGCTACCATGTACAGGAACATGGTGATGAGCGTGCAGACGCTCAGGAACAATCCTCCGATGGCTCCATAACGCTGTCTCGTCCACTCTGTCAGAACGAACCCTTCGGGACATTTCCGCCTAATGATTGGGCCAAGCGCACCAAACACCAACAGCGGCAAAGATGAAGACAGCGCGTAGACCAAGAGGCCTTGCACACCCGCAATCGTAGCAATCTGAGGATACGTGAAGAGAATACCGGATCCGAGGGCTGTGAGCGTAGGAACAACCTAGGTCAGCTACTTGCATCAATGAGAGAGGGGTAGTTCTAAGAGGGGGAAAGTAGCGGCAGCACGTTCCTCACGCAAGTATTATCTTGATCGAGTTCTTACGGTACTTCTCAGCTTCCCCTCCACCAGGCTCCAAGTTGTGACATGGACAAGAAAACCACGTGTCTTTGGAGCCAGGTTTTGGTTTCAGCGCCCGCAGTGTAGCCGCACAAAAGACCGCTTCCCATGCCACCTGCATGCAATGAGAACTACGATGAGTTTTATCGCGGCAGTGGTGATGGGAAGCGGCTTCTGTGAGAGATCTCAATACGAACCTGGAGGATTTCAATCAAGCTTCATCGGGGCTTGAAGACGGGTCTTGTTTGCAGATGAAGCATTTCCCTGTCGTCGTCGAACGCTGAACATGGTCGCGATAAAAATCGATACTGCCGCTGCCTTTCTTCATGTGCAAAGAAGCACACTGGGTGCACGAATGCACTCACCACTAGCGATGAAATTGAAAGCGAGCGGGACGCCTGTCTTAAAGTCAGTCGGGTCCTATTAGGATAGCATAGATGTCGGCGCAAGTTGCGCAGAGCTGGTGGGGAAAAGATTGCTGCAACTGGGCGCTGAGACAGTGTCTGACCCTTCTGTGTGCGATTACTAGAAAGCCACTCGGTCTTGGACTGGTGTCGCAATCGCCATGCAACGTAGCATCCCAGGACCCTATTCCAACCACGTTAGTTGCACCGTTCCCACTTGTCTTGCCCGCAAAGCCTTGGCTTGACTTACAGGAAAGCGCCGAGGGTGAGGTAGATGATAGCGTTGGACGCTGGTTGCGACGGAATACCCATGACTGACAAGATGGTATCTGCACGAGCTGGTGGTTGACGTTTGCAAAGATGGGTCGAAGAAGCACCGGGGCCACGAGGTCGGGAACATGCAGGGTTAAGACGGTTCGGCAACCAAAAACTTTTGCTTGCTACTAAACCCCGCGCCTTGCTTGTTGCATCGCTAGCGCAGCGCGGAGGAGATTCGCCGCTGATGTCAATTTGTTAGCAATCCTTCTAGCCGGCGCGCGTCCCCAGCCATGGACGCAGAAGCTCGTGGGGGTGCGTGAACGGGCTCGCATCGAGCTTGATGCATGTGACATGTGACGACGGTGATGAAGCATCAACATTTTGCTTGTGACTACTCGTGACATGGGACCAAGCCTCCCAAGTGAAATCTCGACAAAAAAAAAACGCCCTATCGCTCCGTAACGCAGCAAATGCGACAATCTGATATTAAGTGTGCCGTCATGTCATAAGTCGTGCGCTTGACGTGCTCCGACCAGTCAGTCTACCATGCGTGTCTGTCCCAGTTGGGATCTGCCAGTCGTCAGTCATTGCTTGTCCAGGACCTAATAGACACGCACCCTGTACGAATGCGGCCAAGACCTTGCTGCCCGTCTGCAGCAGCGGGTGGCCCACGACAATCTGGAGGAAGCGCTGTAGGCCTTCGCGCCGGTGCTCAATCACATCGTCGGAGAAGCGGTTGGTGAGGACCTTGCCCGGCAGCGGTGGTATTGTGACGCGCGCCGACTCGCGCTCGAGGATATCGCGGAAAGCCTCAAACTCACTGTAGCGGCGGCGCACCGTCGACGACTTGAGCTTGAAGGCGGGGATGTTGGTTCGCATTACGATTTCGTAGGTTGTGTACATGCCACGGCCAACGCCTGGTGCAGCGCATTAGTTGACACTCGCGCGATAGGCCGCATCTCTCTGTCTGCACTCACCGTGTGTCATTGGGTTTCTGACCTGTGCACGCGACAATTGTGAGCAAGGCTGCGGGACAGGACCAGGGCAAGGGAAGCGTCTAGCGGGCCTACCTCGATCTCCAGAAAGTTCTCGGGAGGGCCGTAGAGCTCCTCGAAGCTTTGCGATCGCGCATCGGGGAGCGACTGCATCGTGGGCGGCGTGTGCGAGTGTGGGGATGGGATATGGGCAGCTGGGCAAGAGTTGGTTGCGCGAGAGTCGGTGCTCTATGGCGGGGCTGGCGCGAACCAACTGGCCCGACGCTGTGGTTTGGAGAAGGTGCTGGCATCTCAACGCACGTGCATGCATACCCTCCGCCCTCCCGACCGTGGGGTAGTCGACCTCTCCAGACACTCCAATCTTCTCTTCTTGCATCTTCACGAACAAGCACTCGAGTCGCGGCCCGTTCTAAAGTCCCGCCAAGACACAACTTCTCGGACCGCCTAATCTGCTGACTCTTGTCATCTCACGCACCTAAGCAACCCCTGTGTTCAAATCGTCCGTCGCCCGAATGCGTCAACCGTGCTAAGTGCTTACTTGCAGTTGTTCATTTCACGTCGCTGAGCCCCGTACGTCATGCCGTTGGTATTGGCCTTGGCCTCCGCTCAAAGTCTTTTACGTAGACATCTTCGCTCGTTAGCTGCAAACGTATGATTCAATTCGAAGCTTGATATGCAACTCCGGTTCAAGCATATGTTATTCTCATTCCCGTTCTACAATGGCATAGTAATTCTGTTCTGATCTCGATCAAAAACCAGTGGGGCTTGTCGTCCCTGCCCAGGTGCTGTATTGTTGCTCGACCGTCTTACACCCGCAGACCGCAGCAGCGCCGAGCACTTTCCGATGCCATGATAGCAAACACAGGTGCAATATCGTAGTTCAGGTCTAGCTCAGGGGCTACAGCTTGTCGTAGGAAGACTCTGCTCGAGTACATAAGAGTGGCCTTGCCCGCGAGGTTTACCATATCCAAACCTTACGCAAATCCGGCTACCTAATATTACTTCCCGCACAACTCCATTCTTTTGTCCTAATAGCACCATGTCACTCTTTTTGTCAAGCTTGCTTCTCGCCGGTGCGGCGTTGGGTGCTCCTTTGCAGCCCTCTGACCCAGTCTTTACCAACGCGACCATCACCCCGCCCATCAACGGTAGGTTGTCTCGATACCCGATTGAAACCATATATGCCGGTACCAACTTACTGTCCTCCAGGCACTACCCCTTCTCCTCTTCAGCCCGGCATCGTATCCAACTGCGATGAATACTACTTCGTAAAGCCTGGCGACATCTGCATCGACATCGCCAGCGCCAAGGGCATCACTCTCGACGACTTCCTTACCTGGAACCCCCAGGCCGGCGAGACATGCACCAACCTGCTTGCCGACACTTACGCCTGTGTGTCCGTAGTCGGACATACCCCCACGCCTACCAAGCCCTCAAACGGAATCGAGACACCGAGGCCTATCCAGGAAGGCATGGTGGACAACTGCAACAAGTTCCATTTTGTCGAGAGCGGCGAGACCTGCCCGGCTATCCAGAAGGAGTATGGAGTCAGCCTGGAGGATCTTGCCAAGTGGAGTAAGTTTCTCATGTTCTGGAAATCGCTTTGAAGATGGTAGCTAACGTCATGTGCGTGATTAGACCCTGCCATCGAGGATGACTGCACAATGATGTGGGCAAACACCAACCTCTGCGTTGGAGTCATCGCTTGATTTTCTTCTTGACATCGTCCGCTTCATCACTGCACTGAGCTGCCGCGCCTTGCATCCAACTCTAGCCGTCGCCGGGTGCCTCTTAATCTTGCTTGTAGAAGCTTCAAACCCCTGGCTTTACAGTATTATCAACTTCCAGTGTCATCATAGACAATTGTTCCTCGCAGCCTGGCGCATGCTCGCTGCGAAGTTACTCAATCTAATATAATGTTTGGTCTGCTGAAACGCGCATGTATACTCTTACATTACATAATCCTAGAACACTACCATGCTTCCAAATCATGCATTCAAGAAACATGTAATTTGCGGGTGGCTACGCGACTTGCGATCATGATCTTCAATTCGATGCTCTCCATTGGTCAATTGCGGCAGGCTAGATCGACGACGCATGCAGGAGAGCTTTCCGGAGCAGCTTCCGACCACACAGTGCACGCGTGAACATCAAAGAACTGGAATCATTTGTGTGCTACCCCGCATCATCTAGAGCCATTCCATTCATACTGAAACATGGAGAAGTCGACACTGTCGGCGAGGCGGAAGCTAAATGCTACCCATTGCGGGGTCGCCACGAGGACCGCGCTGGTGGCTTAAGTAGACTGTGATCCGTATACAAGCATCAGTCAGGAATTTACTACTGCTCCATCAACATGAGTGGAACCAAGATCGAAACATGCCCCATGGGCTACCATCGGATTGTGAACATTCATAACGGCAAGGTAGCCAGCGGTACCATCAAAGCTGGTGGGCAAGACAAAAAAGCTCCCGGAACATACATCAAATGGAATGCGCCCGGTGTTGAAAATATCCCAGATGATGAAGAAGAAAAGATTAAGCAGGTGTCTGCTCAGTTCAATCGGTTCCAGATGATGAACTTCAATGAGCATATGCATTGTCTCAGAGGCACGCATCTGAAGACACAAGGTGTAAGTACACTTTGGTCTTTCTTCCAAGTATCGGATGTGCTAATCGCAAGTACAGTGCGTTATGGGCAAGTTTACAGTTCATGATAACCTTCCTGAGCATCTCGCCCAGGGCATGTTTGCCAAACCTGGTACCTACGACGTGATCATGCGCTACTCATCCCTAACACCCAAGATCTTACCCGACAACCTTGCAGCACCACGCGGCATCGGCATGAAGATCTTCGGCATCGAGGGCGAGAAGATCTGGGGAGAAGACAAGAAGACGCAAGACTGGACATTCAACAACTACCCAGTCCTCGAGCTACGCGATCCACAAACCACCTACGACATCGCAGACGCCCTGGAACGAAACTGGAACGACCTGCCCACGTTTGCCGACGAGCAGAGCAAAAGAGTAGACGCAGACGTCGCAACACTGGGTGGACAACTACCAAAGCAGCACATGGTCGCCATGCCAGAGTACTCGCAATCCGCCTACCGCCACGGCGCCTACGTAGCCAAATACGGCGTCTTCCCCGCTAGCCAATTCCAAAAGGATCTCGAAAACACTGAAGTCAAGGACTCGGACCCCATCAACATCCTCTCTCAAACCCTGCGCAAACACCACCTCAATAACCCCATCTCCTACAGCTTCTGCGCACAGCTCCTCCAGGACCTCACCGAACAGCCCGTAGACGACATTGGCATCGAATGGGATCCGAAAAAGTACCCCTTTGAGCAAATCGCCACCATTGAGTTTCCGCCGCAGGACTCGTGGTTACCAGAGTTTAGAACTTGGTGGGATGATCGCATCACGGTGAATAGCTGGCATGGGCTCAAGGAGCATCAGCCGCTCGGAAGCACGAATCGGATGCGCAGGGTTGTTTATGCCGAGAGTAGGAAGTTGAGACTCAAGGTTAATGGGTATAAGGAGGGGGATTATGTAGAGCCGGAAGGGCTGGGTGATGTGCCTGCAAAGGGAGTGGAGGCGCCGCAGTTGGATTTGAAGTACCAGAGTGCTGTTACGACTGCTGGAGCTGCGTAGTTTGGTTGCTGGGTAGTTTGTGAATTTTCATGTTGCTTTTTTTCCCCTCTCATTCTCGCAATGTCGCTTGTTGCGATGTTTCGGATATTTGCGCGTCCTTTCTCGGGTGACGTCTATCTTATGCATGTGTAGTTCCGATGTATGACCATGTCTACTAAGCCGAAGGTTTCTAGGTCGCATTTCTAGCTTCAGAAAATAGGTAAGAAGCAGCAAAATACAAGGTACAAGTGCGACTTCCCTGGGTGGCGGCTCCCCGCACATGCGGGTACTAGTTACATGGAGCTAAACCTACTGATCCAGCGACGACGATAACAACAACAACAGTAATCAGGGTCGCCTACAAAGATCTGCAAAGCATAATAAACATCGTACGTGCAAGACTGTGAGTTGAGCTACACCTGTCAAATATGCGAGTCCCTTCTTTGTCTTTACTGACGTGTGGGGTAGCCTGCATCGTAACAACCACAAGCGCTAGCATCATCAACATCTTTCCCCACATCAGGATGTCGTCTAGTGAGAGGATGGTGAGTAGTGCAAAGGAGGAATGAAGCTTTGGCTTGCGCCGAGTGCTCTGTTCTGGAAGCAATACGACTAACACAACGGAGGCATATCCCTACGGGAAACCGTATCCAACGCCTTCAAATGGTACACAACATGACGAGAACAAACTCTGGATGCAGATACAATACGAAGCATATGTTGACGGCATCGATCTGACCGTACTACCCTTTGCCAAAGAGGCTATCGCAAGCATCACTTCGCTAGCCAGTAATGCGGTGGACATGCAAGAATTCGACTTTTCGACTTCAAGAAGAGTTGATACGCATACCCAGTAAGCCCACAAGCCGGCCCATGACCACTCCAGCAGACTACAGATAGGAGTTCCTACTAACAGAAATCTTACAGCCCTATTCCGGACTGGTTCCGTGCTCTCGAATTGAACGCCGCAGGCCGCGCAACACCATCTTGGAACGTATCCTCTCATCTCAAGTTCATGAGCGAACACAGCATTGCCCATTCTGTACTCTGCATCTCCACGCCCCAAGCCAATGCTTTTCTAACCGAGAAAGACGAGGTACTAAGGAAGAAGAAGACGCTTGCCCTCGCCCGCCTGCTCAATTGCTTCGCTGCAGAACTTTGCAGAATCTATCCTGAAAGGTTTAGTTGGATGGCTATCATGCCTTTGCCTCACGTGCAGGAGTCGATCACGGAGTTGAAGCGCATGTTTGGCATGGTTGGAAGACAGCCAGTGGGCGTCGGCGTGTTGACAAACCACGAGGGCTTGTATCCCGGCGATCCAGTTTTCGATCCGCTGTGGGCGTTTCTCCAAGAAAGAGCGGGGAAAGCCGAGGGGAGTGGTAAGGAAGTAGTCTTTGTGCATCCGACCGAACCCATCATCAAGCTCGACGATGGCCGACTGATAAATTCCCGGCCTTGTAAGTTTCTTTTTCTCCCTTCTAAAAGCCACAAGTCGTCGCACGACAAACCAGAGCAAAAACCAAAAACGGTAATCAAAAGTTAACCTACCCACAGCACCTTTACGTTCCGGTCTCGGGGAGTTCTACTTTGAAACCGCCCGCGCAATCTCCAGTTTAACGGCCGCTTCCACCATCGTCACCTACCCATCCCTCCACTTCCGCATTTCTCACGGCGCAGGCGCTTTTCCCGACATCTCCGAGCGCTTCCTCCTCGGCTTCCCTGAAATCTCCTCCGCAGCCAGGGAAGCATACAAATCTCGCTTTTGGTACGATAGTGCGGGTCCTGTGTGGCCGAACCAGATCAAAGGGTTGACGGATGGAATGGGAATCCCGATTCGTCAAATGGTGTTTGGGACGGATTATCCATATGGCATCGGGTTCTGGGACGTGGATGCTAACATCAACGGGCTGGCTTGGTCGGGCGAGTTGGGGTTTGAGGAGAAGGAGATGGTGTTTTGGGCAAATGCGAAAGAATTGTGGAGTGGGAGGATTGGAGTATTGGATCGGATGGAGAAGTAGAAATCGGGGTTGATGATTGTTCTATTAGCTTTGTGCGCTGATGAAGCTTGATGTGTGCATGACGTTGATGAAATGATGAACATGAGGTAGGTGTGTCAGTATCAGATTCCACTGGAGCGGCGGCTACAGATTACGGTGATGTGTAGTCACACGTTGGTTGCGAAGTTGGGCGTATAAGAATAAGAACAAAGAAATCGAAGGGCTTGATCTTAAACGCAATGATGCAAGCGAAATGCGATAAAGACTTGACACCAGTCCACCAATAATGTCCGGACAAGAGGGTCTGGCGGTATGTCACGTTCTCAGAGATCATACCCAAGTAATAGACGTAGATGAGCTTCTCGCATCCACGGAGTTGGACAGCTCGAATCAGTGTAAGAATTCACTGTCAGCAGTACAACTTGCTGAGTGCGGCAACAAGTCCCACCCAATTGATGCAGAGCCGCAAACCTTACCGATTAGCCGCGGGGCGGTTTAGTGTACAAAGGCCGAATTCGTTAAGACAGCAGCGACCCCGCCGTGACATCCGCCACATTCTCGACAACAACTCGCCACCAAGCGTACAGATGAGATTGCGTCGCATTGCTACCTCGCATAACTACCCGGGAAGATGATACAGTAGTGCATTGCAGATGAGAAGGTTGGATTGCGCACGCGGAACAATCCTCACGCCCCAGAGCGACAGGCTGCACTGAGTCGTGCACAAGGCGAGAATTCGTTCAGTCTCATGCATAGACAGCTATAGGTAAATTTTCTACCTGCCGTTCCACAACAACCCGCACTAATCGATGATTTTGTAGAAAATCCTGATGCGTGTCGCAAGTCTTCTGAGCGAGGCCCCGGACGCGATCGCCCGGCGCTTGCCGATGGACCGGGGCACTCCACCGACTCCATATTGCCAACAAAGACAAACATCAAGAGAAGGGTCAAGATGAGACAACATTGCATGTTGAGATTAGCCACCAGCCGACTGCCTAGTCCGTCAGTCAAAGCCAGATCACTATGACTTCAACCTTCCGCATTGTTCGGCAGACGTCGACGGGATGACGTTGATGACAAAACCTCAAACCATCGGGCGATTTCCAACCAACGCACAGCCGCGGAGTACATGAGCATAGACGTCGTCCGAGCCTCAGATCTAGCAAAACGTCTACTGCCGCCGAATGATTGGCGAGACTGCCTTACATAAGGCTGGCAGGAAGAGTTTTGCTCCACCATGTACTAGCGCGAATTGCGTGATCGCACGTCTTCACCCCCAACTATCGCACCTTGCGGAGATGGGTTACAAAGCGATCCCGATGGCGGCGCCCAATATATACTCCAGGCCGTGGTCGCTCTCCCTCTTTCCACCTCCAGATCCAAACGATTGATAATAGTAGTTTCTTTCGGGAAACCTCCATTATACACCAAACCACAAAGACATTCTGCTTCTGGTTTCTCGGCACGTGCTTGCCATATCCCAAACTTCCGCCACACAATCTTGAAACATGTCGTCACCAATGTTTGCAAGTGTAGACTCTTTCAAGCAGCCTACACTCCGTGAGGAGTCGGGCTACGCTTCAGCCGAATCCAGCCAGGAGAGTCTGCCTGAAGTTTACTTCGCAAAGCCTCACTTGAAGTTCATCAACGCACAGCTACAAAAGCTCGAGCCTCAAGGTATGTGGCAGTGATTCGTTCTTGGAAAGCTTCGTGGATTGACTGGAAGTAGATATTCTCCGATGGTGCATTACATCTCTGCCTGGACTGTTCCAGACTACCGCCTTTGGACTTACTGGCCTCGTCACTGTGGACATGCTTTCGAAGCTTGACGGGCCACTGAAGCACAACATCGACTTGATCTTTTTGGACACACTATACCACTTCGATGAAACATATGCCCTTGTCGACCGAGTAAGGAGGCGATACGGAACACCGGTCCACGTCTACAAGCCTGCTGGCTGCGACAATGTCAACGACTTTACTGCCAAGCACGGTGACAAGCTCTGGGACACCAACGACGAACTCTACGACTACGTTGCCAAGGTAGAGCCCGCTGAGCGTGCCTACTCTGAACTTCAAGTCAAGGCCGTCCTGACTGGCCGTCGACGCAGCCAAGGTGGAAAGCGAGGAGACCTAGACATCATCGAGATCGACGAGGCTGGCCTCATCAAGATCAACCCTCTAGCCAACTGGAGCTTTGCCCAGGTCAAGGAATACGTTGACGCCAACGACGTCCCATACAACGACCTTCTCAACAGGGGTTACAAGAGTGTTGGTGACTGGCACTCTACACAGCCAGTAGCTGCAGGAGAGGATGAGCGATCAGGGCGCTGGAAGGGAAAGGCCAAGACTGAGTGCGGTATCCACAACCCCAAGTCACGATACGCTCAGTTCCTTCAGGAGCAGGCGATGAAGCAACAAAACGAGGACCTAGCCAACAAGCTGCAAGAGGTCTCGTTGAACGTTTAGTTTGCTGGGCCATCATATTCGCGTTTAGTTGCATCGCATTAGCATGGGCGTTTGGGTTTTTTTCCGGGTCAAGGCATAGCATGGGGTTTGGGACATTGAAATACTGGGTTTGCGGAAGCCGCATCCGATGATGTATACGGGGCCGAGTTGCCACCGATGTACGAGCCAATGAAGCTCAATTATGAATCAAACGAATATGAACCGACGCGCTAGACCTGTCATATACGTGATGCGTTCCTGAAAATCGCTAAAGCGCATCACATACTGCAGGACGTGTTGCTGCATCTCCGCTCCGCTCACGTCACTGTGGTTACTTGGCCCAACGAAAAGCCGGGTGAGACAGGCTCTAGGTATCGCGTGCAATTGCGCAATCGCGTCCAAGATCTGCCGACCCATACAACAACCCGCTTTGTGCCCTAGTCTCTGCAAGCAGAGAAAATCCAGAGAAGCCCATGGTCAACAATCGGGACTGGGATCCTGAAGTGTCCGCAGAACCCGGGGAATAAAAAGCCCTTTCCACCCGGTCCCGCCTTGTAGTTACTTAGTCGCGCATCTTTCTTTTTGAGTGACCCAAAACATACTCTTTGCGAAGCCAGCCTTGCATAGTCGAGAACGACGTCAAGCCCTTCGCTAACATAATTCACCAAAACTTTCTTCACAAATCCTCTATTCCTCACGATATTCCGTAGAGATGGCGAACGCACCCCATGGTAAGACTGCCTCGCAAAACTTGAGAAGCTGGTAATAGATACTGACGGCGGGTGACGATAGGCGGCGTCCTCAAGGACCTGATCGCGCGTGATGCGCCCCGACGCAAGGAACTCTTCGACGAGGCCGAGAAGCTCCCCGCTATTGTCCTCTCCGAGAGGCAGCTCTGCGACTTGGAACTCATCCTAAACGGAGGTTTTTCACCCTTGGAGGGTAAGTCGTCATGCCGCCCGCGCTAGGCGAGGGGCACGGAAAAGCCACCCCCTCGTGTTTGCCCTGTTTGCAGCAACACGACCCCTGACAAGCAACCATGCAGGTTTCATGAACCAGAAGGACTACGACGGTGTCGTTGCCGAAAACCGTCTCGCCGACGGCAACCTCTTCTCCATCCCCATCACGCTCGATGTCTCGAAACAGACAATCGATGAAGTCGGTGTCAAGCAGGGAGCTCGCATTGCCCTTCGCGACTTCCGCGACGACCGCAACCTCGCCATCATCACCGTCGACGATGTATACCAGCCAGACAAGGAGAAGGAGGCGCGGGCCGTCTTTGACAAGGACGGCGACGTAGCCCACCCCGCCATCAAGTACCTCTACGAGACTGTCAACGAGTACTACGTCGGCGGTAAGCTCGAGGCCATCGACCGTCTGGAGCACTACGACTATGTCGGTCTCCGCTACACGCCCGCCGAACTGCGTCTGCACTTTGACAAGCTTGGCTGGTCCAAGGTCGTCGCTTTCCAGACCAGGAACCCCATGCACCGCGCTCACCGTGAGCTGACGGTCCGCGCTGCCCGCGCCCGCCAGGCCAACGTCCTCATCCACCCCGTCGTCGGCCTGACCAAGCCCGGTGACATTGACCACTTCACCCGTGTCCGTGTCTACCAGGCCCTCATGCCCCGCTACCCCAACGGCATGGCCGTCCTGGCTCTTCTGCCTCTTGCTATGCGTATGGCTGGTCCTCGCGAGGCCATCTGGCACGCTATTATCCGCAAGAACCATGGTGCAACCCACTTCATCGTCGGTCGTGACCACGCTGGCCCAGGCAAGAACTCCAAGGGCGTCGACTTTTACGGCCCCTACGACGCTCAGGACGCGGTCGAGAAGTACAGGGATGAGCTCGGTATCGAGGTTGTGCCTTTCCTCCAGATGACCTACCTCCCCGACTCGGACGAGTACAAGCCCAAGAACGAGGTTGAGCAGGGTATCAAGACCCTTGACATTTCCGGAACTGGTACGTTATTCCCTCCTTTGTTTCCGTCTTCTTGCCTGTTCTCTCGAAACTAACAAATTGTAAACAGAGCTCCGCAAGCGTCTCCGAACCGGCCAAGAGATCCCCGAATGGTTCTCGTACCCCGAAGTCGTCCGCGTCCTCCGCGAATCACACCCGCCTCGCAGCCAACAAGGTTTCACCGTCTTCCTGACCGGATACCAGAACTCTGGCAAGGACGCCATCGCACGCGCTCTCAACGTCACCCTGAACCAACAAGGAGGCCGATCCGTCTCCCTCCTCCTCGGCGACACCATCCGCAGCGAGCTCTCGAGCGAGCTCGGCTTCAGCCGATCCGACCGTGACAAGAACATTGCCCGCATCTCCTTTGTAGCCGCCGAGCTCACAAAGGCTGGTGCCGCGGCAATCGTTGCGCCCATTGCTCCTTTCGAGGACTCGAGAAAGGCGGCCCGCCAGACTGTGGAGCGATTCGGATCCTTCTACCTCATTCACGTCTCTACCCCGCTTGAGCACGCGGAGAAGACTGACAAGCGTGGCGTGTACGCCAAGGCGCGCGCTGGTGAGATCAAGGGCTTCACCGGTGTTGACGACCCGTACGAGGTACCTGCCAACGCTGATTTGACTGTGGACTTGTCCACTACCAATGTCAGGACAGCGGTTCACCAGATTGTCCTGCTCTTGGAGAGCCAGGGTCTTCTGACACAGTTGTAGATGGTTGGCGAAAAAAGTGGTTTTCCTTTTTTCCTTTTTTTTATCCTCCCCTTGTTTTGGCATTGATGCGATGAGAGCTGCATTGTTCTTTTAACGGATTATGATTGGATGGTTATTGTATTGACCTGGCTTTACGAATAGCTGGGGTTCAAAATACACGGCATAGATGATGTGGTACCTAGACATATGGTTTAGACGATTGGTTACGAAGAGCAACAAAGTTGCTTTCTGTATCTGGAATATACAGATGGAGTTGATGAATGGTGCTCATATCAACCTTGACGTGATGACTCTATGTTGCTGTTTGGAGGAGTGTCTGCGACTACCTGTCGCTGACTACAGATTGAATATGCTGTGTGGCATACCGTTCTTAACATCCCATTCGCGCTTCATCTTTCTCCCTCCATTTTCCATTCCAATCTCTTTGTCTCAGACGAACCACCCAGCAGCAACAGCAAACCCCACACCAATCACCGCAGCAAACTGCGCATCTAACAAACCATTAGCATACATCCCACCCCTAATCAACGGTAGGACTAGAATCCAAAACAAAACAAAAAGCATACCTTTTGTAGACCCCGCCGCACCCGTAGTAGGCGTCGCACTCGGACTCTGAGCCACCCTTTCGGAAATACTACTCGCAGCCGACGACAACGCCGAAGAAAAGGCTTCGGAAGCAATCGACGACGCGGCTGATTGAGCGGCCGAAGTAGCTTCTGCGGGAGCTTGCGTGGAAGTGTTTAGCGTGTTCCCTGACGCTGTTGATTCGGCGTCGGAAATAGCTTGGTCTTGGGCGAGTGACGAGGGGAGTGTGGTGAAGATGGGGAGGAGGAGTGTGAGTATGTTGAAAGAACGCATCGTGGGTGGTTGGTGAGCAGACGGGGACGGGATAGGGTGTTGAGATGGTAGTGTTTGGTAGTCTGGTCGATGGAGATGTGAGATATTTTGCGTATATCTATTCACTTAGGGAGCACGAGTTGATTGAGTAAAAAGTGTGCATAGGAACGTCGTCTCCTTATACGTACATGTTATATCCTCCAGAACTATTCCTTCGCAACCAAAATCGCTAAAGAAGAACAACCCGTCCCTATTCCATCTCATCCCGTCCGTCACCACCTCCCTAGTAAGAAGCCCAAAACCATTTTCCATGACGCTTAGTTCCTCAGACCAAACCACTCAGCACGCACAACCTGCGTGCATGCCCTCAGCCTCTTGTCCCAAATCGTCAGTAAATAATAAGCCACAATACCTCTTACAAGCATAGAATCTTTCTAGGGCAATGGATCTACCTGTGGCAGGAAGGTTCCGTGGTCGTGGCGGAGGGTTGGTCGCAGCCATAGATGTACGAGTATGGAAGCACATGTTTTGATGCAAGGCTATTCTTTGGCCTGAAGTACAAGGACGGGCTAGGATCTGATCGAGAAAACGCGGGTGGTGGTGCAGTGCAGATCGGGGACGTGATGCAGATGATGACGTTTTAGGGGTCCGCGGACGCTAATGCGTGGGAGGGCTCGGGTGGTTTGCTTCTTCTCGTGGGATCGCGATGCAGAACTTTGATTTGATAATCGTAAAACTCAGTGGTATGTTGCCAGGTTTCGCCATGTACATGTTCTTGTTTATTCACACAGTCGGTGCCTTTTCACACGTTTAATCGTCCATCCTCCAGAATCTCCGATGGAGCCTACTGCGAGCCTGCCCACCTCAGAGGTACTCTTCGCGTCTCCGAATCGTATTTTGACGTCTTTGAGAATACGAGCCCGTTCTGAAGCCTCGAGAAACGATCCAGTAGGTGGTAGTGCTACGTAAGAATTATCCCTCATCACAAGGCTCGACATGTTCATCATGATGTCCGGACCGTTCGTTAGGAACGTGCGAAAAACCGCAGGAATGAGGCTCGCGAGGATCAAAAGGGATGACGCATATCCCAACACCGTGGCCCAACTTTTATGCGCTTGAATAACAATCTCTTCGGTGTTCTTGGTCCCTACAGTGGACCAAGCTCTTGTCTTGAATCTTTCTGTCGTGTTTTTAGTTTGGTTCATTGCTAGACCAGCGAGACTCGTATTGTCGTCAGTGTAAGACGTGGCATTAATCAACCCGCCAGTCAGGGCATAGAATCCGTTCACGCAAGTCCAGTAAGCATGAAATAGCTGTCCAAGATTGTAAGAATATGATTTGTCTAACCCAGGTGTGTTGTTGGTGAATGGTGCAAATTCGTCATAGTTCGTGTATGAATCGTCCGCTGTTTGCAATGTAAGTAGAGGATCTTCAGGAGCTATAAGATAAAGATCAAGCATGGTTAGAAAAGCACTATATCCATCTGAAAACGTGCGTATACAGTATGATACAAATTTCGGCCAATTTGAACTACCACCAGCGGTATAGAAATCGAGTTGAGTTTTAGCCACTGGTGGACGACTGAGTTGTGAGCGGCGAATTTTGGAGACAGCGCATGTCGTTCCGACTAGGCAGAGAATTTCGACCTCGACATACGCTGAAGTTATTTGGCATTTCAGATTACCACTAGTGAGGTTCCGCCAAATGGACCCGAGATAGAATTGGAACGGTATCTGGCGTTCTGGTCCAGAAGTGCTCCCCTTACCCGCACAGGATAGTGTATATTTCAGCTAGGTCTGAAAGCAACAGGTCAGTAGTAAGCGGGGTTAGCGCACCCTTGGTGGCTTATTGAAGTGGTGGCGTTCTCAGCTCGACCTCGGGACTCACGAGTCGCCCTTTAGTTACCCACACCATCCTGAACCTCTACAATCGCTTCACAATCGCTGCACACTGGCACAACTGGTACGCATTCTCGATTTGCTCATAGGTGGGCGCCAGCCGCGTGTTCTTCAATCCTCCACAATACGACCAGTCCCCTGAGAACATATCATGATGTAGTGACATTATAGGTATGCATGCGGAAACCGCGGCAGGACTGGAAAACAGAAGCATATTGAAGATTACGCCTGAGAGTTCCAAGAGGTATTATAAATGGAGCAGTCCACAAAGCTCCTCAATCTCATCTCAATCCTTAGTCTAACCCGTACTGTCAGCCGCAGTGAACACACCAATCACGTGCATCATGGTCTAAGCCTACGAACCCTGCAACAATGCTAATACTCCGATTCGGCCTCAATAGCATGCGCAACGATTGCCTAGCTTTCACATGTCAAACTCACGCTATGTGGTCGTACGGTGTTGATGCCAGTCCCTCCCCTGCCACCCACAAGATCACACTGCCGACACCGCTTGTACAGTGTACAGCGAGTGCGGATTGACACTCGCCTTTATTCGCAACGCCGCCCATACTGACATGTTATCCAGAGCATCAATGCTCCCCAGGTATCAGATGCAGCGAAGCACAACAGTCCCCACCTTCAGCTGAGGCTGAAACCATGATCGATGTTGAAAATGATCCAGATCCACGCTCATTGGTCAACACCAGATCGTGTTGCGGCTGCGTGTGAGTGACCTCAGCCGCATTCGCTAAGCATTGTGAACGATCTCTATTGTCTGGCGTGTAAGTATGAAGTGGAGTATCCTTCACGATGGGCGATTAGGATGCAGGAAAAAAGCTCTTGGCGTCTTGGTTCCGCCTGCCCAACGACTACATAAGCTTACCCCGCTCTTTTCATGCTCCAAATGCTGAGATGGGCCGCATCCTTCGTTGACTAAGATTGTTCAATTGTTAATCTCGGTGTAGTCTTCGCTATCTGTACCTGGCCTCCGATACCATGGGCCAGAAATCGTCCAAAGGGAAACGGCTTCGAAAGGGTCAGACTTCATACCAAGAAAGATATAACCCCACGTATGCTGCTTATTCGGCAGAACGGGGTGATACAACTGTATTGCCAACCAGATCAGGCGAATCGCGCCAACCGACTCAACACGATTACCCTCCGTGTCGCCCGTTCTATCAGTCGCAGGATACATCTACCAGGAAGGGTCATAACGCTGGCTATTTATCACCAAAGCCAGCCAGCCCGGTATCCGGTACGGCTCAAGACGGCTGTTCACCCTATCGGCCGCTGAACCGTTCACAAAATGAGGTTCGATTGTTAAGAATCTTGCCACCCGTCAATAATCAACCACACCACGACCCCTCAAAAGTACTTGACTTCTCGAACGACATGGTTGAGTGCTGGCTTGAATATGAAAGTCTGGACCGCATTGTTGAATGGCGCAAGAAGGCGCTTGCGCGATCTGCTCTTACGAAACATCTAGCGGACATGCTACTTGCTGGAGCAGAGGAGATACTGCCCGATGACGACGGCACGGGTTCTCGAGTGGCCGAAGCCTTGAAGAAGACCATGTTCGAGGCTATGGATGCGGAACTCGATGAGGATGTTGAGCTACCTATCCATTCAACCAGGAAGAGGATGTTAGAGATGATTTATGAAGCTACTCAAACGATGAGGGCGGATATGGAGGCTCCAGGGGTCTTGTTCACAGAATCGGCAACAACAGCAGAAACATGGTTGAAAACTTTCATCTGGGCGCCCCTGAGTGATAACGAAGTCCACCCGGAGAAGGATCAAGGTGGCTACTTCGCTTTGTCGTACGTCTGGTCCGATACCAAACTCTCCATGCAATTCCTGGATGAAGAAATCAGCAATCTCTTGAGAACCAGCCAGGCTGGAGGCAAGAATTTAGACCAAGTTCTCTCAGATGTCAAGCTGCCCGAGGACATGTCATTCTTGAAACCACAAAGAAGCAATCGACCTATCAAGTTGAACGGAAGCATCATCCAAGTTGGGCCCAATCTCGAAAGTGCACTCAGATCGCTGAGAGAGATACCAGAAGTTCAGAACGGAAAGAGGGTGTGGATTGACAGCCTTTGCATCAATCAAAAAGATATCGAGGAGAAGAGCTACGAAGTGAAACGAATGAGAGATATCTATTCTCATGCTGACAGAGTGGTGTCCTGGCTCGGAGAGGACACTGAACATGCGGGGCGCGTCATAGAGATGATGAACACTATCGGCGGCAGCATCCTCACGGAACAGGACTGCTCGAGGATTTCTGACTGGTTTTTCTCGTTCATCGAGAGTGAAATGGGCGTTTACATTGCCAAGTTTCTCGCTCATCCTTATTGGTCTCGGATCTGGATAGTCCAAGAAATTGTACTGGGCAGTGAAAAGAGCATCACGATATGCGGCGCTAGGCGATTTCCCACGATAAACATCCTGCGGTTTGCAAGTCGAATACTTAACGACACAGATGTCAGGGCCTTCAATACTCATCGCATCCTCTACACGCCGACAAACAGTTACTCAGACGCAGTGTCAGTCGGACGCCTGTCGGCGGGGTTGCGAAAGCTTTCTGATCTGTGTACGTTGCAGAAGAACTTGGAGCTACTCACTAGCGAGTCTGGAACTAGCACACTATGGTTCCGCACCGCCTCAAACAACTTCGCAACAGATCCAAGAGACCTACTATATGGGATGATGAGCCTGTTACCGCGCGACCTAGTTTCCCTGATCAACGTGGACTACAGCCCAGGCAATACTTACAAAGACGTCATGATCGATTTTGCAACTGCGCAGATCCACTCCACTCGAGACATTTCCTGGATACTCCATCGTCCGTGGTCGCCTTTTCCCGGTTGGCAAGACTGGCCTTCGTGGGTCCCAAATCTCTCCATCCCCTTCAGCTATGCTCATTTCATGTGGAATTACGGCACATATGCTCTCCAGGACAGCAAGGATTGTGAATCTTATACAACACGTCGAGTAGGTAACCATGCCACACTCACCTGTTCCGGCTTCTTTATTGATACCGTCAAACAAAGCGCCAAAAGCTTTGCTGCTAAGCGCTGCGAAGAAAGCCAGTATCTTATCATGAGACCATGGCTCTTGGACGAAATTGCAGCAGAAATAGGAGTCGACGAATGGGAATTTCGTAAACACACTCGGTCTACCATACATGAGTTCCCGGAGCATGAGCCGTCACCGGAATTGATCTTGACAATTCGGCCCTATCACCGCTATGGTAACGTGCAAGGTCTGCGAAATGCGGTTTCAGAATGCTTCAAGAGACTGCGCTTGACACCGCACCATGAGGATGAGAGCATGTTTGATATCCCACTAGATGTAATTGAGAACGCTGCTGCTCCTGCTCTTCCCGGACTTACTGTAGATCCACCGGTACCATATCTCTTGCAGCAATTATTGGGCCTCTTTTCAGAGATTGACCTGTGGGACATGACGTTTCGCGACTTGTTTTTGCAACATGGCTCTGGAAGGCCGATTCCACATCTGCGGCTGCAAGATCGGACAGCTTTGCTTGGCCGTATCTTCACGACTTGCACGGGGTATTTGGGGGCTGCTTTGAGTAACGTGTGCCGTGGGGACCGGGTTTATCTATTGAAAGGGTGTCTCATGCCGGTTGTGCTGCGTCCCAGCTCAAGATTGGAAGGTGCGTATGAGCTCGTTGGCGGCGTATGTGTGCCAGGTATCATGCACAAGAAGGAATCGGAACTCGTGGCTGAGGGGATGGTGCCGGAGACAGTCATGTTGGTGTAGTTAGGTCAGTTTGGTTGAGGTTGGTCACAACACAAGAGCAGAACGATCAATTTTCGATACAAATCCACCGGAGGAACTTCTTTTCCAGCCCCGAAAGCCCTCAGAGTCATGAAGAAGGATACCCAGGACGAATGGTGAGTATGTGTGGCGGCATATGCAAGTGGCAAACATCAGAAGATGCAAGCCTTTGTTAAATACAGGTGGCACAGCCCACATTCTCGAAATTACACCACTTATGTCTCATAGTAGCCGAAAAATAATCGATAACATTGCAGCAGATATCGCATTGTGATGTATGAGGGCGTCGTTGAAATGCCCACCTCTCCCCTCCTCTCCACTTCGACAGCCTTACACCTACATCCAACATTACCCCTCTTACATAAACGCGTTCAAAGCCGCACCACCAACGCCGACTAAAGCAGCATATTTAACTTCTGCGATATGTCAGCCTTCTCAAACTCCGATATCCATATTTGCCTTTCCCGTGTACTGCACCAGCAGACGGGAAACACGGACATCACTCACCATGAGCGTTCGCACCGCCCGTGCTTGTCGCCTCAGCTGAAGCGACAGACGCCGATGACGCTGAGAGGACAGATGCAGCCGATGATAAGGCGGTAGGGTTGATCGCACCAAGGCTACTGGAAACACCAGCTGGAATTTCTTGCGCGGTGGTCAGTACGCTAAGGAAGGCGATGAGGTATAGTGGTTTTGTGAACATGATTGTAAAATGTATGCGATCAATACCACAAATCTAGATGCGTCGTTGATGGGTTCAATAAATCCAGTAATTGCGCATGCGATTTTGTCACTCGATTAAGCCAGTAAGCTCTGTTTTACATACTATAATGTCTTGATACTACGACCATGTATGACGCAGATGGTAGAATTAATCGACATGTTAGTCCTGCCATACACAATGCTTCTTCTTTGCTCCGAGCACCATGCTTCGGTAGATATGGTTAGCGGGTTCCCTAGTACGGAATAGCTCCATGGTTAGCGCGAATCTACGGAAGCTGAATGACGTGATTAAGAAGGAACTCGGTTTTGAGATAGACAACACACAACACGGGGATAGGGATAGTTTGGCTTAGTGTCAAAAGGGTACATACGTATTGTACACTTGGCTGGAAGATAGCCTAAGGGTCTGAAGATCACTTGGTATCGCGTCACTTGTTGCTGCGAAGTCATGTGTTGACTTTACAAGACAGACGATGTCAGAAAATACCCAAAATACTCTACTACGACAGGAAAGCCTCTCTATGCTAAAGAAGACCAATCTTCTGCCCTAATATACTCTTCTACTGTTGTAATCTCTATCCCAGGATCCCAAGGAAACTTTACATCGGGATCGTTACCTACATACCCAAACTCCTTAACAAACGAGAAGTTATCGATCATCTCCTCTCTGACTAGCTCCGGCCAAGCCTCTGCAAATTTATCCTTGGAAATGGGTCGAGTCGTAGTCGGAGCCCCAAGGATCTTCCCCCAAATTTTCGCAACTTCCGCTCTAGTCTTGAGTTCACTGACGCCGTAGATGCGCGTGCCAGGCTCTTGGTCAATGACTAGAGCTTTTACAAACTTTCCAGTATCTCTCGAAGCCACGACCCATGGAATGGTACTTAATTCTTTCGGGCCTGGAAGCTGCGGGTCATTGATGGTCCAGCTGCCATCTGCCTGCTTTTGAGGCGAAAGGAAGCCGGGGGCCGTCCAATTCTCAGTGAAGACGCCCATGACAAAGGTGCCGAGGATTTTTGCGAGCTCTGGCACATTGCTGCGGATATGTTGTTCGATCTTCGCCGTGGAGTCAAAGTGGTACACATGTGTGTATTTGCCGCCGCTGAGTTTCGTGACTGGGGTCAACGTTGAGAAGACAAATCTCTCCAAAGACTGGAGGACCTTGGGGTCTGACGCGGCTTCTACAGCATTCAATCCTTGCTGTACCTCCTGCCGATGACAAAGGAGGGGTAGGAACGTGCCAGTTGCCGATGCTTTCTCGTGGGTCTCCTTCTGCTTGAAGATGGTCCAGAAATCGGTAGCGAGGAAGATTGCTGTAGCACCAATGAACGCCGCTTTGAGGGATTTCTTGTCATCCAAGTCGCCTTTGACAAGCTCGACACCTTTAGCGGCCTGGTTCTTGGCGGACTCAGACTCTGGGTTGCGAGTGACGCCACGAACTCTCCAATCTCCAAGGCTCAGAAATGTTGCCGCAACTGAAGAACCCTTTGTAATGTTAATGTCTAGTGACTTGGTCGTGAAGATATCATATTCACCTGTGTTCCTGTAACACCGAGGACAACAATCAACTTTTGCGGACTTGTCATGATTCTTACGACCACAAGATAGAGAAGACTTCTGTGCTGTACAATCAGAAAGCTAGCTTGAGGAAAGAGATAACAGCAAAGTACCATTCTATTCGACCGGTTTATATAATACCTTCTCAGGTCTGATGAATTGCGTTAGGGGTGCTCGTTGGACCTCGGATCTTAACCAGCGCAAAATATTGATAATCTGGTGGACATGGAGTCTATGCACAGCCAAAGATCTACTCTCTCCTGAATTAGCAAAGACTGTACACCGCAACACTAGCATGCATCACCGAGGTTACAGAACACGTATTCGACGCTGACAAATGTGAAAACGTGAACGAAAGCTCGCACGAAATGTAGATAGTGCGGAAGCACTAATGTTGCCAAAAGTGCGGAATTCCGCTGAGTGCGGAGTTGGTGGATCATTGCCAGCCATGTTTGTTTAACGCTTGTTTAGCAAGTATGATATTATGAGTTTACAGGCTCCGCGATCTAGGTATTATTGTAAGCAATGTGAGGTAGATAATGATGCAGGTGGTTGGTATCTTGGTCATAATATGACGACGTCGGCCCGCTGGTTCATAGGTGCATACTTCGTGGCCCCACTAAAACTACCTCTGACGTGCAATGCTTTAACAAGCACAATAGATAAAGCATTCAAGAGAAATGGTTATTCAGCATGTACCTAGCCTAGGCTGGTGAATGTGTCGAGTTGGGGTGGGTTAGGTTAGGTACACCCAACGTTTGTTTTCTCAATGACTTGATAACCGACTCGAGAAATCAGAGACCACTCAGCATAGCATCACTTGCTGCTACAGAGCCACATGTGCGTGAGGCGCAAGACAATGTACAAAGAATTCGATTCAAGGTCTAGGTGTCCATGTTCTCTCTTTCCCCCATACTTCAAGTAATAACACAGTACATCACCATGCTCCTACCACCCATCACTCACAGAAACGCAGCGCACACAACATCAAGCGATCATTTTCCCCATCCCCACCCCCAGCGTCCTCTAAGTGGATTGGTTATACCACCTCCCTGTGCAGCCTTTGCCTGGACTTTGGCCTGTGGTTGCGGCACTTGCGACGATTTCGCTGGCGTATCCGGCCCAGCCCCCTTTCCTGCTGGACTAGAAGTAAGCCCGAAGCCAGACGTGACTGCACCCAGCGGTTTTTCTGCAGGTGTTGGTGCTTGCTGTTGTCGCTGTTGCTGATTTCCAGTCCCAGAGCCAGTCTTGTCGCGTCCAAAGAGTTCGGAGATCCTCGACGTGGGACTGCGCCGTGGCTTCAGTGAATCTCGACGGGTGAGCGGTGATGATTTGGGATCGACCTGTTGGGTGACTAGTGGTGCGTTTGCACTTGCATTGGCGTTTGAAGAGGCAAGAGCGGCTGCCTTACGTGGTCCGGATGCGGGCATAGTATATGGATCACTCGAGCTGGACTCGTACATTCCATATGAGGTTACACGGCGTGGGAGAGCTGGTTTGACATCACTCACATCTGTTCGCGCACCTGGCTGGGTTTGCTGCTCTGGGCTTCGGTCGGCTGGCTGAATCGTTGCCAATGAAATTTTCGTTGGCTGTGGCCAGGATTGACTGGCCCCTGTGTTGGGTGCTGGAACTGGCGAGATTGTACCGAGGGATCCTTGAGACGTTGGCGAAGTAGGTCCGTCCCCTCCTTCTCTTGTTGTCTCTGATCTTGGTAGAGCTGCTCGGAATACTGCCATACGCGCTCCGGGCGCAGCAGATGGCCTTCGATCTGCTTGTGCCGCGGCTGACGAGGCTGGATCTCGTTCTTCTTGCTGTTGTGGTGATTCAACTCCTCTTGCTTTGATTTATTCCGCTTCGTTGTTGAATAAGGCCGCACGCGAGACCGGTGTACCCGCTCTCGGGGCGGTGCATTGTCTTCGACTATCTGCTTGTCTGGCACTCGATGGGATTGTTGCCGTTCGCGTTGATGTTCTGGTGACTGTGGGTGTTCGCGCAGGGATTGACGCTCTATCTTCCCTAATTGCTGAAGACCTGCGTCGTGTTTTCGTTCTCTTGGCTGATGATGAAGGCCTTCGTGTGATGATCGCTGGATCCTCCTCTGCAGACTGGAAGGCCGTAATTTCTCGCGCTTGTGCTGCGGTTGATTGACGAATGTGTTCTCGCGCAATGGGCGCCTCTTTTCCTGCATCTGATGCTGAAGGCCTTCTTTGGTTGCTTTCATCTCTGGTGGACGGTTTTGGTGATGTTCCTGGACGCGTGAGGTCAACTGTGCTGGTAAACCCGGCGTTGTCATCGACGGACTGCTCACGCAGTCTATCGATGCTACGGCGGGTGGCGTTGTCTTCTTCGCCTTTCGAGACCCCAGAGTCCAAGACCATCTTCGTTTGCTCTCTAGCGCTATTGTACTCCTCTTTTTGAGCCGTCGGTTGTCTTGTTGGCTCTTGCGCTTGCTCTTGCGGCGCTTGAGCATTAGGCACTTCCAACATCCTGCTTGGCGATCGACTCGACTCTCCTTCATCTGACGGACCTTCTTTCTGGGGAACCTGAGACAGATTCCGTCGCGTTCACGGCGAATGAATACCTTCTCTAGGCGATGTTTCTTCTTTTGCGATTGAGGTTCCAGTTTTGGTTGGTCTGCGGACGTCTCTACGGACTGGGCTTTGGACCTCTTCTTTGTCCGATCCTTGAGCCGTGCGAGAGACTTCGACTTCAGTATCCGGCCAAGTCTGGAACTCAGGTGCTTGGGAGCGGGTAGGAACATTCGTCCGTGCACGAAGAGCTTGCTGAGGCCGCGATTCACGTTGAGAGAGTCCCGACGAAAGCCGACGGGTAGACTGCCGCTTCGGTTCGTCCTGACGGAAGGTTTCATTCGTTGAAACTGTCCCACAGACGAAGTAGCTGGTCCTTCGAGACGGTGAGTACTGTGGCCGTGTATCGTCGTCAACGCGGTCTGGAAGGATTGGAGTGATTGGGTAGTAGTCGTCCTTGTGAGCGTAGACGGAGGTTTGCCTTGATCGAGTGTCGACCCTTCGCAGAGGGACGGCATCTGATTTTCGACGATAGACAGACTTTCTGGGCTGGCTTGGATAACTGTTTTGCCTTTTTTGCGTTCCCCCTGGGACTTCTGGTGACCCAGGTGCCGCATTCCGAAAGGGTTGAACAGATGATGAGTTGAGGGCAGGCTGACTAGGTCGACGAGATTGGCTTTCTACCTCTGATTCCAGAAGCTCTTCCTTGGGCCAAGGCCCAAGACCAAGCCATCCTCGCTTTTTGGGCGGGCTTTCCACTTTCGGCTTCGGTGGTGGCGTACGAGTATCCGGCTTCGTCCATGAAGGTGTTTCGCGTAATGGATATGCTGGTGCCGGCGGATATTGCTGCTCAGGTGAGTAGTTTGTACCCTTCTTTGGCTTTTGCTTGGGGCTTCTAAACTGCATCCCGACTTTCATTTGCTCACTAATCATCTCTGGAGGCGCCGCTGTGATCCCGGGAGCAGCACTGCTGCGTCTGCGATCTGCTGTGCCAGACTCATTCGGTACCTGTGTCTTTCTTCTCGCAACCTGAGGGCTCTCGTTGCGCTGACTCTTAACCTCAGTGCTTACCACAGGCCCAAAGCCAGTAGCAGACGATACGATGTTTCCAGCATCGCTACTTCGCTTACGGTTAGATCCATTAGGTATCGTCAATATCCGTGGTATGCTGGGTTGAATCTCTTGTGAGGCTTGCGTCATGCGTCTTTCAAATTGAACATCTGGATCAAGCTGATATTCAGCATCGGTATGCGCAACAGGCGCCAGAGTTGGGTAGAAGTGAGTAGTCGGTGCTCTCTCAGACTGCCCAATCAAGTCCTCGCTCCCGTGAACTTCGGGTGATCCAGCTTTGCTTTGAGTTCGAGAATCATTGCCTTCATCCGACGGCTCTTCAGCAATCCGTTGGTAGATGGGAGGTTCGAAAGACTCCGTGTCAGACGCCAAATCTGTAGTGCGTGCTTTCTCGACCTGATCGGTCTCTTCCTTGCGATCAACCCCGTGAGTTGATTCAAGGACATCTCTACTCTCCAATTCAGTAGAATTATCAAGTGGGACTTCCTTGTTGTACTCAGGGCTTTGGTATGCCAAGGACTCTGTACGTGACAGAACACGGGTAGTCGTTGTTCTGCCACCCGAAGTAAGCCGTTCTTTAAGCGTCGCGTCTGCTATATCAGTTTTTTGTCGTCTGAGAGGGTGATCTAAATGTCTTGCATCCACTTGAGGCTCTGCTAGGATCCCTTCAGCTTCTCCTGGTGGATCCTGTTGAGTCTCGGGTGCAGCGAGGACGTTTTCTCTAGGCGTAGGTTGGTGTGAGGCAGAACGCGACAAAGCGATCTGATCTGGAACGTCTCCTATCTCCAATGGGGTCTCAGATGAGGGAAGAGCTTTCGCCTCAGTTTCACGGACGGTTGTCCTACGCGTGGGCTGACGTGAGAAGGTTTCATAAGGTTCGCCCTCTTCTGGCAGGGATAAGGAGGGAAACCTGTCAAGTTCAACAGAGTCATTCCGCGGTACAGCTGATAGCAATGTGCTGGTACGAGACGCTTGCGTTGGCTGGCGCGAAACAACACGCGAGACAGAATGGCCCTCTGCCAAGTCCTCTAGAACCGGCGATGAGATAGATGTAGCTAAATGCTGAGGTCCGGTAGCTAGCGGCATCGTACTTGTCCGGCGAGCTTGAAAGGTAGGCTGGCGTGAAGCTGCGCGAGATGAGACGGATTGTTCAAGCACCTCTTCTGCTACAGGAGAAGTACCGGAAGACACGGAAGCAGGTTTGAAAGAATCTTGCCGCTTTCCACTCGATTCCACAGTGGTTGTTCTGCGGATTCGCTCCACCGGCATTTGGAACTCAAAGCCGTCCTTAGGTACTAGTGAACCTGTTCTAGACTCTTGTAGTTGTTCACCTGGTTGTAGAGTGGTTGTCCGGCGAACACGTTCGACTGGAAATTGGAACTCAGCTTCTCCAGATCTATCACCCTCTACTGGAGAAGAGGTGGAAGACTCAGAAGTAGATCTGAAAGAGTCTTGTAGCTGAAAAGCTGGTGGTACAGTAGTCGTTCGACGTATCCGCTCTATCGAAACTTCGAGTCCAGACTCTTCAATGACCGGTGACGCTATGCGAGACTCTTGTCGCCGTCCGACCGACTGTATATCAGTTGCTTGCCGAGCGCGTTCAGCCGGAAGCTGGAACTCGAACTCTTCTTCGATAACCGGAGTCACTTCCTGAGATCCAGACTTGGAAGTAGGAGTGCCAGGATAAGCCCCCGCCATTTGCTGAACTGGTGATACGGTCGATCGACGAATGCTTTCGAGTACGGGTTCAAGCTCAGTCACTTCATCGACGACTGGAAACGCACCATTGAAACCTAGCTCTACTAGCAGAGCATCGGCTCCAGAGTCAACTGTCACTTGTCGCTGAATGGCTGGTTGTACAGTGGTCGACCTGCGAATTTGTCCTACTGGAGGCCAAGAGTCCACCTCTGCTGACGAATCGAGCTCTGGCTCTATCATCGGTTGCTGTACACCCAGTGGCGCAGTGGTTGTTCGGCGAACTGGTTGGAGTCGCGACTCTGGTTCATCCTCATCGCTGGGAGATGACTCTGAAGTAATCTCCGGCTCTGGCAGAAAGTCGGTATGCCTGCGCTGCAGAGTGCTTTGCTGCCGTTCGGCCGTCGCCACAGTAGTCGTTCTGCGAATGCGTTGTACAGGAGGCGTGAACTTAGAGTCTTCTTCTTGTCCAAATAGAGACTGTTGGCTGGATACGGACTCGGGTAGGACAACATCCTGTTCAGTGGCTACGGTTGCTTGCTGCTGCTCGGCTGCCAAACCAGTAGTAGCTCGACGCCTTCGTTCTACGGAAGGCGAGAAAGCCGGTTCCCCTTCTTCCGCTAGCGACACGGTAGTGTTTCTATGGGTTTGCTGAAATGGAAGCAGCTCATTTTGATAGGCTGGCAAAAGAGAAGTGGTTCGACGTATCCTTTCTGCTAGAGGTTGAGATCCAGATTCCTCTCGTCCGCCCGGCAACAGCTGCTCAGAATCTTCGGAGTCAGAGAGTGTCGCGTCATGCTCAAGCTCTTCTGTTCCTTGTGTCTGCTCGTGTGGTACTTCAGTAGTTGCTCTGCGAATTCGCTCTACTGGATATAAGAACTCCAACTCATTCTCATCATCATTATCATCAACGAGGATTTGTAACGATTCTTGAGATGAAAAACCGGACAGAAGTGCGCCTGTTCCCTGTCTTGTATCAAGCGATGTGAGAGTCCTACAAAAACCAGATCCCCGTTCTTCCAAAGATAGTAACAATTCGGGGGATATCGCGCGCTCCGCCACCGTACTCGCGCGCCTCTTTGCAGCTGGCAAGACAGTGGTAACTCTTCGTATGCGTTCCATCGGCAATAAGAAATCCAAGTCATCTTGGTCTTGCACCACCGGTGATGATTCGCGAGACGTCCCAGGCTTTGTCGACACGGTAGTACTCCTACGGATGTGTTGTATCGGAGGTAAGAAGTCAGATTGGTCTTGCTCTGGCATCAGTGTTGGTTGCGCGCTTGTGCTCCGCTGTTCAAAGAGTGGCGCAGCAGTCGTTTGGTGGCGTGTCTGCTGTATTGGCGGTGAAGGCAGTGGATCGTCTTTCCCTTCGTTAAGTGGTGACTGTGTACATGCTCGCCGCTGCTGAGACGGCACCAGAGTAGTCGACTGGCGAACCTGCTGTACTGGTGAGACGGTATCACTACACTTGAACTCTTTCGCCGATTCTCTTCTCGAAAAAACGTTGGTCGGCTCAGCAGGAACTGTAATCATCCTACGAATCCGTTGTACGGGGGGAAGAAAACCGGGCTCTTGATCTCCAACAACAAGCAGAGATTCCTCGTGAGGTGCTGATTCTAGTGTAATCGCTGCACGATCAGGCTCTCTTGTAGTCAGTCTTCTCAAAGAAGTTGCTGTCGGCTCATCCAGAGACAGAAAGTGTACTTGTTCTGATCCGTTCGATGTTGAAGTGACTGGTGATAGAACCAGCTCCTCGACTTGCATTTGTGGTAGTGTTGTGAGCGTGTCTTCATCGGACGACCGCTGTGCTGGAGGTGTAGATTCACGTGCTGGCTCTCTAAATGTCGGATGTCGCGAACGCATCAGAGTGGCTTTCTTAGTAGATATGCGATTTACAGTCTCTATAGAAGGTATCTTAAACAAATCTGTGGGCGATAGACCTGTGGCGATGCGTGGCGCCAACGATGACTCTGGTGACATCGGCCGACTTGCAGAATCACTCAATGGCATCGCAGTCTCAATTTCAGAAAGTCTTCGTCGCAGTTGAGAAGCGAGATCTTCAGTCGGAGAAGGCTCAGAAGACACGAAGAAAATCGTTTTTGTAGCCTGTTCCGCAAGTTTAGGCATGGGCTGCACGGGCGGATAGCGATGTTGGCTGGCGAAACGCTGTGTTTTCTGAGATTCTTCGATCTCTGGGCTTGGCAGACGATCTGAGGTAACGCGAGAGGACAACCTTCTGGTGTCTTGTATGACCGTTGGTGTGGCACTGGTCTTGCTTTCATACTCCAGCCTGACCATTGGCTGTCTCGACAGTGGTATAGTGGATTGCTTGAACACAGGTTCACCATCATCGATACCCTGCTCCGACTCTGCGGCCAAGTCCTTCACAGTCACCCTTCGCGAAAGTGGTGTAGAATCAGTCCTTTCGGAAACGGCTGAACGTCCCACCACCGAGGCGCGGGTGTCTGATTCGTCCTCTGTATAAGGATCCCGTTGCGGCAATGCATCACGTTGGTGCTCTGTTTCAAGTTCAAAGCGCTTTGTAGTCGTTCTCCGAATAGGTGAAGCTGTCTCGGGGCTTTCTATGACGGCTGCACGTTCCATTAGCATGAAGGGGGTATCCACCTGGTGCATGGTAAGAGTTCCAGCATCCGACTCTCGGCTTGAGTAATTCTCAGGCTCATGCGCCTGATCATACGGGTCTCGAATTGGCACACTGAACCCGGAAGGCGATGGAGTCAGACTGCGGCCGTCGTTGTAAGTGTCAGGCGCAGTCTCGTCGGGTTGTTGGTCAAGCTGAGAATCTTCACTTGTCTCATACTGCGGGCTATACTGTGCTTCGTCGATCGATTCGGCAGGCTCGTTCAGCGCTGTACCATCTCTGACCTCGTCAGCAGGCTCGTAGTCAGTACCTGGTAATGTCCGGAGAACAGCGGTGATGGAAGCAACAGCAGCCGGAAGCTCGTCTCTCGCCCCTCGAAGCACCTCCTAGATCTCCTCCGGCGAAACGTCTTCGGCTTGGTAAGGCACTCGAGTGGTCGATGGAAATTCTTTCGACTGGCTGAAGATACGGGTGAGTGCGCGGCTAAGTCGCCTTTGATTAATACTGACATTTACCGTGCTGAGGACATCTCCGCTGACAAAGTCGACCGGCTTGGACTCCGACCGTCTAACCTTGCTGGACACACCAGTGGGTTCTCGGCTCAGTACGAGTTGTTTCAGGTTTGCAACTGCTTCTTCATCATGATCATTTGGGCGACCTACCTCGAAATTTTCGATTGTAGCGCCGGTAGATCTTTTTCTCTGCCAAGTAGGTGCATTGGAAAGACGCGTGGGGACTCTCTCAAGCATACGCTGCGCAGTTTCGACATATGACTCGTCGTCATAGTAATCATGAGCAGTGTTGGAATCGGCAGGTGGATTCTCATGCCAAGTAGATTCGGGCGAGGCGCCAACAGAAGCTCTACTGAGTACACGTTGTACAGGATGTACGATGAGCTCTTCCCCCTGCCCACTTTCTTGCCGGTCCTGGAGCCGGACGTCAAGATCTCCAGCAATCGAATCTAGTTCGTCCATAAGCTGCTCCCGCGCCTCTGAAAGCTCGGTCAGATGTCGCCGTGTTTGCTGTAGCCAACTATCTTCGGTGGGCGGCTCTTCATCAGCCGTCTTGTCTTCTGTAGCTTCCAAAGAGACGCCTGGATGGTATGAGACAGATTCCCGAGGAGTACTTTCGTAAGGGGCATTGCGAAATAAGTCGTCATCAGTCACGGTAGGTCTTCGCTCGAGATCAATGCCAAGATCATCGGCTGCAGAATTGACCAGGTCGACAAGGTCAGGTATCGACTGTAATGCTTCGCGCAAACTGAAACAAGGGTCGTTGAGGTTCGGCTTCAGTTGCCCAGTAGATCCCACGTTAAGCTTTTCTGCCGTTTTGGGTGGGATATATGGACAAAGGGGAAGCCAATCATCATCTTTTTGGCAAGATGATTGACAGCGATGTCTACAGGAGCTGTTGGCACGGCATCACTGAACAAGGTCTCCAGATACTCGTCGAAGCTGATTAAGACTGGGCTGACTATTCTTGATGTTGCTGATGACAGACTGCAAGGTATTTGCATGCTCTTCGAGGATGTTATCGATGATGTAACCCAACTCGTCAACGAATGCATCCCCGCACTTGTCGTATGGTATACATTCAGAGTGATGTCTACGGCGTCTCTGCTTACGACAGATATCATCTTCGAGCGGTTTCGAAGAAGAGGTTGTGGACGTTGAGGATTCAGACAAGGCTCGTCTGCGTTCTCTCCGTTGGGTAGCTGGCACTTGTTCTGGCGGTGGTGCACGAGTTGAGCATTGCCGGCATATCTTCTGCTGTGCATGATCGCGATGCTCGCCTTTACCCATGTACGAGAAATGACCACACGCCCGCTTAGTCCAACTACCAGGATCTCGGAGTGGTTTACTAATTCTGTTCGTGCCGTGTGATTTAATTCTTGCACCCGGAAAACCAAAGTCTTGCGTGACGCGACGTCCGTAACCTTGTCGGTTGTCGACGTCGTCCGGTACTTCAATCTCGTGATATTTCTCTTCGACACCAATGTTGGCTGTTGGGATCGGACCTGACATAGTGCTTCGTCGAGAAGAACTGACGTCACTCGCTCCGTCGTGGCCAAGATTGCTTGATACAATCTCCTCGGCTCGCCTACGAACATTGACAGACTTCCCAAATTGTTGGCTAGAAATTTCAGTATCAGTGCTCAGAGTCCACTCAGCGACACGATCGATAGGTTCCTTTGAAGAATCGCTGATCTCAGCTAAAGAAGCAGTGTATGATCCACTGCGCCTAAGCCGTTTGGGGGAAGTTCCTTGGTCTTCCTCGAAAGTTCTTCGAAGATTGCGACCAGACTTCGCACGTCTGCCCTCCTGTTGCGACTGAAGATCCGGATTCTTGGCTTCTCTAGTCTCAGCAGCTGGTACTGAACTGCGAGTGGATAGGCGTCTCACAACTTCGTCAGAGGAATCTGACTTTTCAACTAATCTTTGCTCTACGTTGCCGGCAAGCGGCTCCTCAGGTATACATTCTTGCACAGAGCTGTCACTTGCGGCTTGTAAGTCGATGGCGAAAGGCCTGGCGTCTTCAGGTGTGCCCGCAAAGATGTTTGTGGACCTTCGGCGACCCATGGACTCTTGTTCAACATCATGGTCATGTTGCTCCTTGTAATCAGTCATGTCCACGGGAGGTATAGCTGTTCCGATCGTGATGGTGGGAGCACACGCACCACTCGGAGGCTGACTCTTTGGCGCAAAGCTCTTCCTGGTGACGCCGATTGTTGAAGGCGGAGGAAGGGGTGTTGACGGGTAGTGAGAGGCTCTCGTCTCGAAGAAGTCCTTGGCAGAACGAACTGATTGGGGAACATTGGGCGGCCTTGATAATGAAGGTGCTATTATGGGATCGCTTTGTTTTAGTTCATAAGCCCGAGATCGTGTCTTGGAGTCAGACGGACCAGACGCGGGTGATCGTTCACCGATACTGGAGCCAGCCTGGGCAGATGGGACCGCTATTGTTGTCTCTGCTTTGGGCTCACGATAGGGATGTTCAATATTGTCCAAGACCTGGCCGTAGGGGTTCTTGCCTTGTAGATAGGCAGGTGATCTGCGGCCAGCTGGAAACGGTTGAGGTTCTCTCGAAGATTGTGGAAGCGGCGAAGCTATCGGGTTAATAGACTTGCGTCTCGATGCTGTGAGGAATGGCTGCTTTGCTTCTCCAGCTCCGGGTATTGTGGCAGGAGCTTCAAATCTACCCTGTCTAATCCTTATGTTCGATTGTTGTTGGCTCTGCTCGCGTGTTCCCGCATTGGCAGCTCGGGAAGCAGAACTTGACGTGGGTTGGTCGAAGCCTCGGGGCATGGGATGCTAAGCTATCGTACTATACTTCGTCGATACGGAAATGGCAATGCTGTGTGTTTGGATTGATTGGTGACTGTATGTAGAGAGAACTGGAATTACTGTGGTAAGGTAAGACACGCTTTTAGAGATAGGGCAAAGTAAGATAGAGTGCAAAGAAGTAAGACAAGCAGATGAGACGATAGCAATGAAGGTAATTTGTAGCTCGTAGGGTTGCTGGTGGATCCAAGTGCACTCAGTCCAGGTTGTAGTGGAAGACGGTTAGAGGGAACGGGACTGGAAGGGGTTCGCGGTGTTTTGGTCACCTCATGGAGCTCCTTCTATTCTTTGGGCGCGGAAAGCACGCATGCTCTGCAATTGCTACTATACATACCACGCATACCGTGCTCAAGGAACGTTACTGACACATTTACTTCAACGCAGCCTGGAGGCTCTCAAGGACCTATGTCATGTCAGTGCTTGTTGTATGGCTGCGCCCACAATACGCACCTCAAGCTCGATCTTGGCCTCAGCAATGTCGGCCTCGCTGCCGCTTCCGCTGGCAATCTTCTGTGCCTCGGCGATCTGGTTCCTGACAGCCTGTGCCCGTGTCAGTCGCTATTTGTCCAAAGCCGCGTGATGGCTCGTACCTCGGCGCTGAAGTCCTCCAATGGGTAGCCCTCGACGGCGTTGATGCTGAGGACGGAGTTTGGCTGCACGGTAGCGAATCCACCAGACAGGAAGAACTGCTTGCTGCCACCCTGCTCCTCGATGATCTCGACTAGGCCGGGCTTCAGCTGCTCAATGGAGGCAACGTGGTTGGCCAGAACACCCATGTCACCGGTTTCCGCAGGGAGGTTGACCTGGACACTACAAACAGTCTTATGTCAGTTTTCGCGATTTCGCATTGCGGGATCGACCGGGGTCTCGAGGGACATACACATCCTGGGACTTGTAGATGGACTGTCGATAATCAGTTAGCGTCTGGTCTCTAGCGACAGTTCCAGCTAGATGTATTCCCCCACACGTCGCGACGGCTGTTATGGCGTACCTGATGCGGGAGAGCTAGGGAGAGCTTGATCTTGTCGTTGGCGACTTCGGCGTACCCTCTGCGCTGGATGGGGCGGGCAATGGCAGCGGGCCTCGCGCGGAGGGCGGCTCGGGCGATGCGGAGGGAGCTCATGATGGACGAAGTGGTGGGGCAATGGCAATGCGTGTCGAAAGTTGGGTGTTCTGCGAGGTTGAGTTTCTGCGGCCCCGGGCTCTTCTCGGGATTAGCCGAAAAGGTACCGCCAAGGCGGTTAGCATTCCCAATGACCATTTCAACTTGAACACGGTAATAACACGGAGAAGTTCATTTGTTTGTAGGATACAGCTTTTAAAAACTGAATCCCTTCGTAGATAAGAGGTTGATGAGATAATAAAGCTCACTCAGTTTCTAAGGTCGGGTGTAGTACAATGAAGTGCCTGTATTCAATAACTCCGGGGTATCTTAATCGCAAAACCAAGAACATGTCTAGCCCGCTACGCTTGACGAAACTCATGCTTCTTGATGCTCGAACTTGGCGAACATCAATCGTCATAGAACTGTTGTGGTGCGGCCATGCTCATCCGTAACTGCCTCTCTCTCTGCTTCGCTTGCAACTCCAGCGTCTCCACGGCATAGCTAAGCCTGTCCTTCTTTGCCCTCAATGTCTTCATCCTCAGTTCCTGCTGCGCGCTGATGGTCTTGCCCCCACTCCTCTGTGCGGTCCTACTTGCCGCTCGAGAACCCGATCCCCCATTGTTGTCACGTCCAAGTCTGCCCTCGTTCAGATCGCACTTGGCTATAAGGGATTGTTCACGGCGTTCCAGTTTGTCCAAGTAATTCTCAACGCGCTTGAGGAGGTTGTCGACTTCAGGGCGGATTTCTGAGAGGAGTGCTGATTGTGCGGTCTGGAGGTCTGACTCGGAGATGAGTTCAAAGTGCTGCGACGGAGTTAGCTGGGCGAATGCATCCGGATACTTTGACTTGTACTCACCCGCGTTGTCTGTAGTACTTTGGCTAGTCGAGGAAAGTCGCTCACACCTTGATCTAGTATGTTGATAGATGAATCGAGCAATTGCATGCTACTGCGCAGTGAGCCCACGCACCCCTCCAATGCCATGATAGCAAGCGTGTCTTCAGTAGCACAAGCAAGTGTCTACTGTGGTGAGTGGAGTGGAATGTCGCGGGGTTGTTTACCTGTGAATAGTAGGATCCGTGCGCAGACGCCAAGCATATCGAAGTTCCGGTTGTTCGGCTTGAAAGCTCAACCGCCATCACCGTCATCCCTCGCCGCAACCGTCAATCGATCCATTGCCCCTCCAAAACAAGTCACAATGCCTCTTCTCGGAAGGAAGTTCCCGGCGCAGATCGGTATGTTAGCCTGCACCACGCAAAGAGTGGAGAGTGAAGCTCGAAAAGATGGCTAACCAAAGACCTACAGCCAAGCCCATGTGGCCTTTCTACGTCTCTGGTACGTCGCGCGACTTTGTTTGGACATAACAAGATTTGAGGAAATCACACCGTGTGGGATTGGAAAGAGTTGGAGAACGTGGAGAAGCGAAGGGTTGCTGTAGGAGGATAGGATTAACAAACGTACCAGGTCTTGTCATCCTCTACGGTGTCAACTCTGCCGCCAACGCCATGGCCCAGGGTGCGTAATCCCCATCCGAAAGACGTAGCCAGCCGGCTTGGTCCATGTTCGCAAGCTGACTAGCACAGCCGATGAGTACAAGAACGACCCGCGCAACCCAGCCGTCAAGAACCAGGCGCCGAACCACTAAGTCTGATACTTCATCATATGGGGAGCGGTCTTTGGGCATGCGAGTGCCTTAGAAGGCAGTGTACAATAGCCGCGGGGACGGAAGATCAATCAAGATCTCTTACTGAGATGGCTGTATAGACTTTGGCACAATCAACCCCATCACCAAGATAGCATTGCTCTTGCTCTATTGTTCTGGTCACGCGCGGGTGTTTAAGCCTTCCTTGAAGCGCAGCACGAATGCAGACCGCGTTGCCGAGTTCTACAAGCGTCCGAGGCAGTGTTCAAATATGCGACTGGGTCCATGCAATCTAGTCAACCAACCTCCAGACGCAACGCGAGCTCTGCCACACTGCGGTCTACCTATAGCTTACTACTATGGACTCGCACGTTCATAATTGCTGTGGGAGGTTGAAAGTGTAGATGAGTACAAGCAGCCAGATACGTGTGACGTGGTGGTTCACCCAGTATAGCGCACTCGGTCAGCCTGCATGTGTAGAAGGTGCTGAAGAATCTCGCAATTGTGACATCACGACGACACAGCTGGGAGCCAATGTTAGGGCCGATGCTTTCCTTTGCTTCGTAGCTAAAAGCACGTCACGAGTCGCTGCCAGTCTTGTAGAGGCGGCTGCAGGACGTTGGCGGTGAAAGTTGAATCTAGCGCCATGGACGCGACAAGTATTTGAGAAGCACTTCAGATTGGCGCATAATGCATAAAGGGGGCAGAGGTGTGGCTCAGTCAGTGCCAGGCGACGGCATTTGAAACGGGCAGTGGCATTTTGACAGTGACACCCTGGACATGTGCGGAATTCCAAGACGCAAACGGCGCTGATCTGGGTAGCGATTCCTCCGAGCGGCCCAGGGATCAGATTTGCGGACCGCAGGCTTGATACACGGCGGCGGGCAGCGGCAGCAGCAGTGAAAGAGCTCGTCTAGCGCGCCAAGCAAAGTGGCCGAATACAACCTTGGAAGGCAGGTGGTCCTTCTGCAACCTCTCCGTCTGCGTTCCTTTGATACAGCACCACGACCGCAGCGTGCTTGTTTGACCAGGCTTCTCCGCTGTTCTGTGCCCTGCAGCTGTCTTTTAGCATCCTGTGCCATAAGAGCAAACCTCGCCCACCCCCCAGCCCACACAAAACCCCCCCTGGCGTCGTGATTCCGTTGGGCTCATTCACGCCCTACAGTAAGTCCTGCCTGCCCAGCTCATCACTCGGCTCCGCCCTCTGCTTCCCGTGCCCGACGCAGTCTCTCACCACCACCACGCACCTGTATCGCTGGCACTTCCTTTACCTGTCGGTCAACACGCTTCTACTGTCTCTCTTAGCGTTTCTCGGCTGCCCGCTCCGCTTACTCACCGCCTTGTTGGCTAAAGCCTCATACTGACCGGTCCACTGCAGTAGGCTGATCCTCAAAACACCGCCGCGCCCCCATCGTCACAACAGACGACCCACCCCCCCTCAACACCACCACTTCCTTCACCACCACCACAGGCCAGCCTCCTCAAGGTTGAACCGGCCGCAAGCATGACGACAATGGTACGCTCCGACCCCGCTTGCTGTCGCCCATGGCGGCCGATAGACTCGTCTCTGCAGCACCTTGGGCTAACACACTGACAGGACCTCCGTGTCGGCAACAAATACAGAATCGGCCGCAAGATTGGTAGCGGCAGTTTCGGTGACATCTATCTCGGTACGTCGTTGTCGCTAACCGCCCACCGTCGCCATGACCAGCCCAGCTGACGTGTGTAGGTACCAACATCATCTCTGGTGAGGAGATTGCCATCAAGCTCGAGAGCGTCAAGGCCAAGCACCCCCAGCTCGAATATGAGGCCCGCGTCTACAAGTCGCTCGCCGGCGGTGTTGGCATTCCCTTTGTCCGCTGGTTCGGAACCGAGTGCGACTACAACGCCATGGTCCTGGACCTGCTCGGCCCTTCCCTTGAGGACCTCTTCAACTTCTGCAACCGCAAGTTCTCCCTGAAGACTGTCCTGCTCCTTGCCGACCAGCTCATCTCCCGCATCGAGTACATCCACGCCAAGTCCTTCATCCACCGCGATATCAAGCCCGACAACTTCCTCATGGGCATTGGCAAGCGCGGCAACCAGGTCAATGTCATCGACTTTGGTCTGGCCAAGAAGTACCGCGATCCCAAGACTCACTTCCACATTCCTTACAGAGAGAACAAGAACTTGACTGGTACCGCCCGTTACGCCAGTATCAACACTCACTTGGGTGTCGGTATGTATCCCGCATCTCACTCGACTTCACAAACTAACGTCTGTAGAACAATCCCGCCGTGATGACATGGAGTCCCTCGGCTATGTCATGCTTTACTTCTGCCGTGGATCCCTTCCCTGGCAGGGTCTTAAGGCGGCCACCAAGAAGCAGAAATACGACCGCATCATGGAGAAGAAGATGACCACCCCCACCGAGGTCCTCTGCCGTGGCTTCCCCAACGAGTTCGCCATCTACCTCAACTACACCCGCTCCCTCCGCTTCGATGACAAGCCCGACTACTCGTACCTCCGCAAGATCTTCCGCGATCTCTTCGTCCGTGAAGGCTTCCAGTACGACTACGTATTCGACTGGACCGTCTACAAGTACCAGAAGAACGCCCAGGCCATCGCCCAGGCTGCCAACCAGGGCCAGGGCGAGGAAGACGACAAGGGCCGCGGACGCCACGTCACCACCACTGCTGCTGCCAACGCTGGCACAGCAGCTGGCACCAAGCGCGGTCCGGTCAACGCACGCCAGGAGGGCACCGGAATGTGAGTTCGATATATCTGATCCTCGTAAGGGACCCTCTCCTTTGCGTTTGGTGTTGAGAACGCTTAGCGCGGGGGACGCCAGATACAGATCTTACTAACCTTCTTCTTTCTTTCAGGCAGCTTCGTTCGGCCAATAAGCGTGGCGGGGACCAGTATGCATCTGGTTACTGATTTGATGCGGCTTTCGATTCGTCATCTCAACTCTTGCGTGACCGCTTCTTCTGACTCGGCTCCGCACTCACAACGAATGGGAAATGCGGCATTGCCGTCCTGGCAACATTTTGGACGGCGTCGCTCCTTGATCAGTTCGTGGGATCCATTCGTCAGACACCTCATACGGACCTAGAAAGACATTTTACTGTCTTGCATCTACTACGGCCAAGGGTCTCTGACGACTATCTCATATCTCTGGAAGCTCGACCTACACGGTATCTCAAATTGGCATAACAGTTCGGCTTGCAAGCAACACATCTCAACTCTTTCCGGATCAACAGCCAACAGATTATCTTGGAACGTCTTGCACGGCTCGCGTTTACTGGGCAGCTTTCCAGCTGATGACTGATCTTTGTTTGACATTTTACGGCTTTCACCTCGCATTAATTACCCCTCCTGCCCCCCTTTTTGTGCTTTCCTGCGGTTTTTTGTAAATTTCCTTGCGTTTCCCCCTTCGGATATGGTCTGCCAGCTTGTGGGGAGGTAAATAAGCTTAACAAGGGGACGATTTGTCAAATTGTAATCTGAAAGAGAGTGTGTGTACGTGGCTGAAGCTTGGCTGGTTAGACTCGAAGGGTTTGCGATGGGTGGTGTGCGGCTAGTTCAGTCTCTGTGTGGGATGGCGGTATTCCTCTTTCAATCAAGGAGGCCGCACTTCCGGGGAACGAACCAAGAAAATAAAGGGAGACGAGACAATTATCTAGTTCGCTATCACGCCCATTGCGCTTGGAGACGGGGGAACAGAAAGGGGGAAGGGTTGGGATGAGTGATTGTGGTGTGGTGCTCTTTCTTGTTTTGTTTTGTGCTTTGCTTGTGCGTTTTGGAAATATATGGTTTTTTGCGAATCTTTCTCTCTGTCTCTCTTATCTTGGTGATTTGGATGGGTGTTGTGTGATGTGATGTGGCGTGAAGTGACGTGACGTGACGTGACTTTCGTCGGTTTGAGATGGTAGTTGGTTTACTGCCTATAGTAATGCGGAGAGTAGCTATGTCTTGTGTATGTTGATTTGCAGCTAACAAAATTAATACGACTCCTAAGGCTTCTCTTGAGGTTTTTGAACCAAGTTGCTTGTTTGGATATCGTTGCAACTTGGTTCGAGCAGCGTGGTACTTGAGAGATTTGTCTCGATCGATCAATCAATCAATCAATTAATTAATCAATTACTAAGATGCGAATCATACACAAACATACACTACCCGTTCGAGCATGTACATTGCATGAAGTTGCTGGTGGATTTTTTTGGGAGCATATACGGGCAATGTACGATGTCTTTCTTACTTTAGGTGTATGTATCTTGAGGACTTTTGTTTCCTTTTTTTTTTCTTTCTCCAGATGGATCTTAGTGTATGTTTGGATTTATAACGAGGGATCGAAAGAGGAGAGGAGAGAGAGAGAAAGAGAGATCAATAGTGCGGCTGTTTTGGCCTAGTTCGATGAATGAAGAAAATAAAAAGAGAGAGAACAGAGTCTGTTCTAGAGGTGGTGTAGGCTGGGTGTGTACTAGATGAGGTTTATGTTTTTCACGGCTCTTGTTAGTGTTCTTGTTATTTTGCTGTATTATGTTGAGTTTAGATGTGTTATCGTGTAGAGATCAGCATACACATCAAGTAAGTTAGGGAATTGTAAGTTGAGTAGCAGAGTAGAACAGAAGGTAGAGAAAGTAAAGCGGCAGAATTGTTTAGTGATGAATACGAGCGAGGTAATGGCATTTTTATCCATTAAGATGGATTGTTTTAGTATTATGTTATCGAATTATTGTTCTAAAGAGCACTTTTCTACTTGAGAATAACAAGACCTTATCTCAAGCAATTTTCTCTTGTCTGCAAGAAGAGGTTAACAGAAGGTAAGTCAATGAAGCTGTTTTGTATGTATATGTTGTATTTCTATATACTTCCTTGTGCATCAGAATAGATAATGATTTTAGGCTTTTGTATTTTACCTTCGCTCCAAATATGTGTATTTTGAAATAGGTATAATAACACGGGCACTTTAAAAGATGAGTACAAGATTCGACTAGCACGCAGAGAAGAATACTAATATACAAAGGTTAGTATAGAGAACTGTTGGTTCCATGGTTTCAAATATCTTCGACTACAACATCCGTAATTACTCCTATCTTGATAAAACGGCACGATGTCCGTCGAATACACATCAACACAGCTAGGGCTTCATATACACAGACAAGCGTCAATCTCCTGATCAATAACAACCAAGTTGCTCAAGAGTGAGCTCTCAAGCAGAAAAAAAAAGACGATGAATAATTTCAAGACATTCGAAAACATCTCAGTATACCACCCAGAACCCGCATTATCTATACGGTTCTGGCTCAAATGTACTCTGTTCGTGTTGTACTATGGCATCTACCGTTCAAACAAACACTCGTATACCCCCATCTCACCACCTACAACAAGGTGGAGACAAGATATAATGCTTACCTCCTAAAAAGGCAAGCAAGCCAGCGAGCAAAGTAAGCAAACAAACAATTGAATGCCCATCTTATGCATACTACTACTACCATACTCTTTCCTCACTCCCCATAATCCGATTGAACCATCGAATAAACAATGTAGCATCTACAATAAATGCAACATAGGCCCCGTCGCGGGTTCATGCTACGCCACAAAAACCGAGACGTCGGTAAATTGCGTCGACTATAGCGATTTGCTGTCTTTGAAACGGAAGCAAAAATTGGTTCCGTAACGTAGCATGTGGGGAATAGATAGTAGACCAGATGCTCAAAACCTGAGCAAAATGTCAAGGTATAGAACAATTGAGGAAGAAAAAAAGAAGAAAAAACTCATTTCATCACCCATAAATCTTCGTCAAGTTTCGTTCTCGGTATTCGGGCTGGAAGACGGTTCAGCTTTTAGCTGGGCAGCTGCTTCGGGTGTCGCTGCCTCTGACTCTGTCCTCTTCAGCGCCGCGAGCTCTTTCTTCAGTGCATCCATCTCTTGATCTTTTTTGTTGATCAAGTCATCCCGCTCGGATACTTCTTGCTTTAGCTGTTTAATGTACTCTATGGCGCTTTCCACCTTGGCTGCCTTGGAGTTGTTCGAGTTTTGCGCGTTGGTCTCAGGGCTTTTGGCGTCTGGGATGGCACCGAGCTGCGGGGAAGGGAGGAGCGCTTGCATTTCTTGGAGGGCCATGTTGATGCGGTTTCGGCGGCCTTGCTCGGCGATCTTGTGAGACGTGCGTTTGGAGGTAAGGTTGGTGGAGAGTGATGTGGGATAGACAACGCCGGGGACTGTGGTGCCATCGAGGATGTTCTGGTAGTTTGACTTGGATGCCAGAAGAAGGGCGTGGGTATTGTCGGTGACGCCTGCTGAAAGTCAGATTAGATCATGTAATTGGGTCTAAGAAGACACTTACCACTTCCACCGTCGGGCAGTAGAGGCTTTATGCTGGGCGAGATCTTAGGCCTTAGAGCGGGGCTGACAAGATTCGAGCTGACGCTGTTCCTTTTCTTGGGATTGCGCGCTGGCCTCAGGTCTTTCTTGCCGTTAGTCATGGAGAAGGCTGGGCTTGTCGGGGTCGACATGGCGTCTAGCATCGGACTAGGCCTGGCTGACATGGAGGCTCCAGGTGTGCTCAGAGGATTCAACTTGGGCGTTTTCCGTACACGGGACGTGTCACCATCCTCATTCCGTATCGCTGTGTCCAATCTTGATAGGCCCGGCCGGTCTAGAGAAGCTTCTGGCAGGGTAAGGTCTTCCAGCATTGGTGGTGCTTCCTGAGAGCCACTAAAGTCGGGCGAGGGTTGTATCCGCATGAGGGATGCTGGAGTGGCTGGAGTACCGTTCTGGCTGTTGCGTTGGGCAAGCATGGCAGGAGAAGCTGTTGAAGAACTGGGCTTTGGTGGCGGTCGCATCTCAGACAGCATAGGCTCGGGAGATATAGAGTCCGTCTCTGAGCTCTCACGAGTTCTTGGCACATCCAGCCCGTTGGTGGACGGACGTATTGACCGCGCTTCCTGCATGAGTTCGGTGACCTCCTTGGGTGGGATGAGCGAGGAAACGGTTGCTTTTCGCCGGTTGGGTTTCACAATGGGGGACTGTCGTACGCGGCCGTTGGCATTTGCCCGTGGTGCGTTCCTTTTGTTGGTACTCCGTAGACTCCTCCTTCCTTGCTCCTGTGAAACCATGGCAGGCTCACCCAACATATCCATATCTACATCGATGGGCGAATGTCCAGTGGAACTCCCAGACGTCGTATTTTGCGACTGCTGATGCGCATGCTGATGGCTCTGGGCATTCAGGGCGGGTGATGTAAGTGGGCTGAAGTAGGCTCCTGGTACAGTGAAGTCGGGAATCTGGAAGCGCGCATCGTGGGGCGTCACTGCGGGCGAAACTAGTGGGGTAAAGGTCTATATGGGTCAGTGGGGTTTTGTGGTAGCTTCCAAATCCGACATACCGCATCGTCCTTGCGCATATGGTATCTCTGGTCGAATAGCGACTGGTGAGGGTCCAATTGCGTGAGATAGCGATGAGGGTCGCCATGCATCTCTATGCTATTAGGCGTGGGCGGGACGCCCTGGTGTGGACGGTATATTTGGTCCTGGGCCTGGGTGAAAGCTGGCGTTCCGGCCTGGCTGTACGCGGGCATGCCATAGTCAAAGAAATTGTTGGTGGGCTGCGACATGCCATGACCACCCAAGTTCTGGACCTGCTGGCCTCCGTTGGCGCCATCACGGTGGTCCTGGGGAAGTTGCGGGGGATACTGGCCCTGGAGATGGTGGACATTGAGCGACTCGGTCAGATCGGCGAGTTGATTGCCATTAGAGGCGGGTCCTT